AAGAATCCAAAAGTAATCTTGAGCTATGGACAAATTAATTATGTATTTATTCATATGGGTTGAGTGTCATGATATAATTATGGGTAAAGACATGGGCAGTTAAAACAGATGACAAGATGTAGCATGAGCTGCCACATATCCCCAGAACAGGCTTCTGAGAGGGACTTAAAGTACTGAACAAAAATTAAAGACCTCCCTCCCTTATTCCTAGGGCCCCTGTGAGCTCTTTTGCCAGCACTGCCTACGCTGCAGAGTATACATTTTGTGTGCTTTCAATAAAGGTACACTTTCACGCCCTTTCTGTGTAACTTATTCAATGCAATACCCAGGACACCAAAAGCCTTTTTAAAAAGGCTTCACCTCCCTACATCAACACTCCCACACCAGAGGCCCAGCTCACCTAAGATATCAGGTGTCACGGTTTATGTAGGTGACCCCCATGCCTCATGCATTTCCATTACGCATTTGTTATAGATTCAGTGTCTAGTACTTGGAATGGGGCTGTGAGTGCTACACTGGCCTAGGGGTGGATCCAGAATGTTATGCAAAAGCAGGAAGAAGGTGTGTTTTGTCTCTTGCGGGTTTCTGCCCTGCTGTTTGCAGCTGCAATGAACTATGGCCCCGCCATGCCACCCTGCCTTGGAGCCAACAGAGAATGGACTGAAACTGCTAAAGACTGTAAGAAATAAACCTTTCCGTTCCCAAATTTGGTTATCAAGTATTTTGTCTCTGCACCCAGTATAAAGTAACTAAGACATTTGGGTTCTTCAGAAGGAGTAAGAGTGCATAGCAGAGGGTGGTGTAGACATCTCTGTGCCAGCAAAGAACAGACCAAGCACAGTGTGGACTAATTCCTGTGTGGAAGGTACTCTCAGGAACGCAGCACTCCTGTGTGCAATCACAGACACTCCTTAGCATCTCTCCCAGCTTGGGGTCTGCATCCATATCTCAGCCGCATTCCCTTGTTACTTTATTCTAGTTTTCCTTTTTCTGATTTTTTCTTTTCCTTCATTCAAATCAATAGACTAACAGAGCAAGTGCCAGAGCCACACTTCCTGGGTTCAAACTCAGGAACTACCTTTCCCTAGGTATGTGTGTTTCGGGGCAAGGAACCTAACATGATCTGATGTGGTTTTACCACTGTGAGCACAAGTACTCAATAAAATTTACTGATTAATTTGTGTTGTAATTTTGTTCTCTGGACACTAGCATCTTTGCTTTGCTGTTTGGCCCATGCAGCTGTCTGTCCAGATATGATGACTGAGATATTTCACAACAGGTATACCACTTGCTGTGCCAACTGTATTGGTCATCGCCTGGGACCAATAAGAACACATGTAGGCCTCTGACCAATCAAACTAAGAGAGAAGGGGAGGGAGCACAGTTTCAGGGCCAGAAAGTAATTCTGCAGGAATACCCGAAGAGACATTGCTGGGGAAGCTGGAGAAGGAATACTGAGCGCAGGAAGGGGAGCGCGGTTGGGTTAGTGGCTCTCTTACCCATCTGTAAGGAAGTATTCAGTACTTAAACAACCACACACATCTGTGCCAGAACATATGAGATAAGCATCAGTACCATGTCCATCTCACTTTCCTATCCACTGCCATGCAGTTCAGGCCTTGCCTGGTCCATGGGGAGTAGAAAGCAATCAATGAAGTCCAATGGTGCACTGGGATTCAGTGTTTCCTGATGCTTCTCGACACTTTCAGTGATGAAATTGATCATTTCTTGAATGTTACTGTACATATGAGTATGAGGACCAGGATAGTGCTTGAGGATTCCCCAGAAGAATTCAAACATCTAAGAGGAAGCATAGGCAACACAGGAGGGAAAGAAAAAGGCATGAGTGTGTGTACACCTCTCGGCAGGACTTGGAAAGCTCCTCACGGCAGAGCTTCTCATGTTTGTAATATAAACAGCATTTTCCTTTCAGAGATGGGAACCACTTTCTAATTCCCTTTACAAAGTCTTGGTAGATGCTAACAGCAGCCTTGTTGGAAGTGCAATGTACAGACATGGGCGGAGTTGGATTTCCTTCCCTTCAGAGAACTGACTGTGAGATGTCCTTTTGCTCAAGACAGCAAACACCTGAAGCCTTTCAGTACTCACCTGCCCAGATTGCTAGACTATTGCAGAATCTTTGACCTCACCTGGCTGTAGAAAGAACTCAAGATATTGGCATTTTCATTCAGTAGACTTAGCAGGCATATAAATTTGGTGTCCTGGTAATTATAACGGTCATTGAAGATGATGAAACAAATGATGTTGGCCATGACAGATTCAAATAACATGGTTGGATCCAAGTAAGCCCTTAGGGATAAGAGAGGTTTGTCCCAGAGATCTGGGTGCTCCTACCTTTTCCTTCTGGGTGCCTTTGATTGGCAGTTTGATTGGTCTTCACATATGAGTGTCTTTATCTCTTAGCAAGGCCAATTCTCACTGAGTCTTTCCATTTAAGTTTTCTTTCTGTGTATCTCCCTCTCTGTGTCTCTTGTCTCTCAGGTATCTATATTGCATGAATTTTCTTTGTGCATCTGTATCGTCTTTTAGTCTTACCTCTGACACTTCCTTTTAGACTGGGTCTGCTCCTTTTTCATCTACCTGTCTTTCTATGCTCCTTTCTTTCTAACACTTTATGTCTTCTCTATTTCCATCTTTAACTTCTGTGTTTCTAAATCTTTTTTGGAGTTTCTATGTATAGATCCACCTCTCTCTGCATCCACAGCTTTTCTTTCATTCTCTCCTCTGTGTACATCTTATTCTTCTTTTTGGTCTCTTATTCCCTATTTTCTCTCTCCCTGAACCCATTGCTTCAGCTCTGTGTGTCTGAGTCTCATCAGTCATGTTCTTTCTCTTTATGCCAGCATCTTGTGGACCCTCTGCCCAGCTCCCTGGGCTCAGCTTGAGATTTCCACAGCTCCTCCACCAAACACTGAGCCTCCTCCTTGATTCCTTTCTGGATCCTCCTCTTCCCCCTTCCAAAGTCCTTCATGGTAACTAGGCAGAATCACTGGAGGACTTTCCAACACTTTCCATTGACAAAGATCACACCTGAATGGTGAGGCATAGAGGCAGCACTGGGAGGACTCATGTGATGTTCCCTCCTGTGCTCCGTAATATCCCTCCAAGTTTCATTTACTTGTTCCCTGGAAGATGTGATCAGCAATTTCGATCGTCCCTTAGCCAGAGAAAACCTCAGCCTTGTTCACTCAGGCTTCCTTGATTGCCTCATATCCACACAGAATCAAAACAGGCCGGGAACTCAGGTAGACTGTAAACACATCACCATATTCCTCCCACAGCTATGAAGGCAGAGTCCACACCTCACTATCTCACCCACAAGAAGAGTTGTCCACTGTCATTCTAGTTGTCCACTGGATCATATCTTCCACTGTAGCCTGAGCTCCATCAACTGCAACCCCATTCAGGAAGAACAGACACTTGAACTCTGTGGTTCCAATCAAGCCTTGTCCTTGCTCTAGTATCCTTGACTCCCGGTTTTACCAAAACATTCTCAGCCTAGAATTTTACTAATTTCACCCAACTCTCTACATCTGATGACTGGAAACTCTCCTTTTCCCACCTCTGCAACAAAATTCAAACTCCCAAATATATGTAGATTTCTGCTCCAGTCTATTCTGTTGCCATCCATTCTATAGGGATTCCAAAAGCTTATATAAGTGGGTATACTAGACCAGATGGTAGCTGGACAAACATAATTCTCAAATTCTTCTGGAGCATCCCAACCCTAGTTGGACCCTCACATTTCCTTGCAGTCTGTGCACTCTGCTTCTCTTCTGCCACCACCTTCTCCATCCCATCTGACCTACTGGAAGGATTTGAGAAAACCCTTGGAGTCTAGCTGCAAAATGTTCCCCAGAAAGGTTAGAGGCCAGGGTCCAGGTGGAAGGCTGCTCTTGGAGGTGGAGCAGAACCAAATCCAGAGTTGGAAGAGGCTAATCAGGATGAAGAAGAAGATAAAGTCAGACAGCACCAGGGTCTGCTCGCTACAAGCCATCCCGGCTTCTGTTTTCTTTGAAAGACAGGCTGTCATGCTTGTTGTTTTTTTCCTGTGGTTGGTGCAGGATTTTGTGCCAGGAATCTATCTTGGCAGAAACCCTAGAACATCTCCAGAGGATACAAGAAGCCTATTATTTACAGGTCTTGCAAACGCTCAGTGTTCAGCATATCAGGGGTGAGTCCCAAAACCAGCCTCCCTTCACCTGGTTGGCTAGGAATGTCTTCATGGGTATAACCCTTGGGAAGTGCCTTAGTGCCTGTGGGTGGGACATATGGAGGTTGGTTCCATAGAGAAAGTGGCTCTAAGCTCATCTTCACAGGCAAATATCACACAGGGTGAGAGATCACATGTAATTGGAAGTCAGATTTGGAATCATTTGAGCCCTTTGCAGATAGGAATTTTTTCTGATATCAAAAGGAAGTGAGATGTGGAGAAGGTAAGGTTATCTAAAAGGAGAGGTCTGGATCCACTGGAAGGATGAGGTTAAGGGTCAGCTGATTTAGCCAAACTTTTATCTCTTCATTCATTGCTCAGAAATTGTTTTCAACAGCTATCATATGCCACACTTAGCTCCACGTGCTGAAAGTTGAACAGCAAAGATAGCAACAGGCTGACCCTTCGTGGAGCTCCAAAGGAGGTGTAGAACATAATCTCACAAAAAGTCTCTCTGAAAAGGTCTTAGGGACCTGACAACTGAGATCACATGAAAAATGGTAAGTATCATCTCCTGATAGGGTGAGGTTTGATTCTCAGGAGATTTAAAGAAAACTATGAAGGAATGCATGACACACATCCAGAATCACACAGCTCAACAAATGGGGCAGAAGGTGCCTTACACAGATGAAAAGAAAGGTTGTGCCAAACAGCTAAGGAGGAGAATGAGGAAGGCCAAATGCATCATATGAGAGCTATCCTCAACATCACAAAAACTCAAAAATGTTATGCAAAGAATTTTTAAAAAGTAAACAAGCTTAACACGACATTTTGAATAAATTTATTTATATGAAATATCCAAAAGACCATAAGGCAAATCCATTGAGACAGAAATCAGATTGCTATTTGCAGGGGCTGGGGTTAGGAGATCAGTGAGTGGCTATTTAATAAGTAGATTGCTTTTGGTGAAAGTGACAAACAATGACTGAAACTACATAGCAATACATGTACAAACTTGATAATGAACTCTGTAGCAGCACTGCACTGTATGCTTTAAATGTGTCATTTTATGTTACGTGAATTTCATCTCTTTTAATGATGCCTGAGATGAAGCATTTGAGAGTAGGATCATGAAACATTTGAGATTTACAGTATGAATCTGCTGTTTCACTCATAGTATCAAGATCTGAGGCAGCTGTTGTCATCACCTGACCTCTGTTATTCATCCATAGCATGGGCATGACCCCTGCACCCATCACCTGGGGCCAATGAGAGGGGAATTTCTACATAGAACCTCTATTACAAAACATGGAGCAAAAGGAGTTGACAAATGCAGAGTGACTGTTCTGGGCAAGGACAAACTCACTCAGCATGAGCTGTATCCTGGGAAGCAGAACTTCGGAATATTCTTGAACCAAGTTGTCTCTTTTAACTCCTAACTTCTTTATATACACTGAATAAAGGCTGTGATTATTGTTGATGCAATCCAAATGTTGGCACTTCTATGCACATAAGGAAGGAATACAACACAGAACATCAGAAGGACTGCAACAGTATGCAAAGAAGCCTACAACAAAAAGTTTTGCAAGGAGTCAGGTAAGGGGAAGGATGCTGGTTTACAACAGGTTTCTCAGGTGCAGGACGTGAAGGACCTTTCTCTACAGAGTCAGGGCACTGAATAACCCTGTGGTCCTTTATTTCTCTCTTGAGTCTATTGTGCGAGGCAGGAAGGATATCTGGTATGTTGGGGGCACTCTGCCAAAACCAAATTCCTGGGGTGTGAAATCAATGTCCTCCGGAGCCACTGGACTCGATATGGAGAAGTTCTGAAGGATAGTGGTGAAGAAGAGAAACAATTCTGCACGGGCAATACCTTCTCCAAGACAGATACGCTTCCCTGTGGGAACAGAGGATCATAGGTATAGGTCAGGGTGATATTCTTTGCCCTGTCACATTCCCAAGATTAGACACCTGTGGTCATTGCACAGGCATGACCTTTAATCTGCAGTATGGGTAGACATGGAGGAGGTTCTCAAACCTTCTGATACTGGGTGCAGATCTTTGGGTAAAATGTTCAGTGTTCAGTGTTCAGTAGGATTTGGGACATGAAGTTATTTGTAGCTTTGTTTGATTTCCAAAGAGATCAGCAACCCCACGTGAGATTGGGAGGGCAACGTTATAGAATGGTAAACTTACAGATATTTCACAGAAGTCAAAAATCAGTTATTAACCTGTGTCTGTGCTCATGCTGCCTGTCACATAGTTAGACTGCTAAGATCAGCCTCGACTGTCTGCACCCAGCTGTTTCTCCCAGATAACTAATCAACTTGATTACATCCAGCTGTAATGTCTGTGTTTGCCCACTTGCTTCATGGACTTCATGTCTGGGACAGATTGGCCAGTCAAGGAAGCCTTTAACTCTGCTTGCTCTGCTCGAGCCCTCCTCCCTCCCTCCCAGGATATGCCTGTCGTATGATAAATTCTGTTTTTAACTATATTAAAAGAAAAAAAGAATAAAAATGCTGATACAGAATTTCAAAACAAAACAGCAAAAGATTAGCACTGTTAATACATTGTATTTTGTTTGTTATCTTCAAAGCAGTTGTTCAGATTACAAGATATAGGCTACAAAAATGATTAAACAAACAATGAAAGCACAGACTGTTCTTTCTGATGAACTAACAGGGATTAGTGGTATAGTTATCTATTTTCTCCTTTCCTCTATCCCAGTTGCTTTGTCTTTTTAAGAAGTTTCCTTTCTTTCCCCTTTCACAGTATCTATTGTACATTTTGGATCTTATTTACTCTTTCAGTGTTTTACACTAAGGAGACAACATGATATTTACACGTGTGAGTCTAATTCATTTCGCCTATGAATATGATGTCCACTTGCATCCATTTACCTATAAAAGATCTATGTTGGGGCTGGATATTTAGCTCAATGGCATGTTTCTGCCAGCTAGCTCAAGGCCATGAGTTCAATCCCCAGTACAAAAAAAAAGCCTGAAGTTTATCCTTCTTTATAGCTGAGTAATAACTCATTTGTATAAAAATACATCTTTTTTATCCATTCCATGGTTGACAGGTATTTAGGTTGTTTCAACATCACCGGCTATTCAAGAAATGCAAATTAAAACAGTACTGGGATTCCTTCTCACTCCAGAAACAGTGGCTATCACCACGAAATCAAGCAAAAACAAATACTGGTAGGGCTGTGGAGATAAAGGAACACTTTTTCACTGTTAATGGGAGCATATATTAGTACAACACTTCTTTACAGGTAAACCTGCTAAGAACAAGTCTTGACAGCATATGACTTAATACATATAACCCATCATGTATTAACCTGCAACCAGCTTTATACTTCCTACCTGCTAAATTTATTTTTTTAAATTTTATTTAAAGAGGAAAAAAAGCAAAGAAAGAAGGGTAGCAACAATACAGAATTCCAAAAAAAAACCAATAAACTCTAAGAAATGACAAGTTGATAAATTACATACTGTCATCTTTGAACTAGTTGTTCAAGTTACAAAATTAAGGCATACAAAGTGGACATTCAAATAGTAAAACTGCAAACAGTTCTGCACAATGATCCAACAAACACTTAGCAATATGATCATCTATCTTACACACTTAAACATACATGCAGTTATATTCTTTGGAGCACTTTCTTTTCCTCTCTTTTTACCATACCAATTACATATTTTGGGTTTTATTACTCCTACAGTTATTAATACTTTTTATGCTAGAGACACAATGTGATATTTATAAATATGATTCTTATTTACTTCACTTATGAGGATAGTCTCGAGTTGCCTCCATTTAACTGTGAAGGCCTCAAGATCACCCTTTTTTATAGCTGAGTAATATTCCATTGTATAAAAACACCACATCTTTTTCACCCACTCTGCAGTTGATTGGCATTTTGGTTGTTTCCAAGATTTAACTATTACAAATTGTGCTGCTACAAACATGGGTGCACATACATCACTGTGACATGAAATGTTCAGTTTTTCTGGGAAATACCCAGGAGGAAAATAGCTGGGTTGAACAGAACTTACAATCCTGGTCTTCTGAGAATTCTCCACACTGGTTTCCATAGTGGCCACACCAGGCTACACTCCTACAACAATAGAGCAGTGTTCCTTTTTCCCGCAGCGTCACCAACATTTGTTATTGAATGTTTTCTTGATGGGAGCTATTCTTTCCGGAGTGAGACAAAATCTCAATGCTGTTTTAATTCACATATCTCAAATGACCAGTGTCGGTGAACATTTATTCATGTATTTATTTGGCATTTGTATATCTTCAACTGAGAAATGTGTGTTCAACTCCGATGACCATTTTTGAGAGGGTCTTTGAATTTGGGGGGCTTGATGCTTTTCAGTTCTTCATATGTTCTGGATGTAAGTCCGTTGTCTGAGGGGTCGCTGGCTATAATTCTTTCCCAGTCTGTGGGTTTTCTTTTCACTATGTTGATGATGTTCTTTGAAGTGCAGAAACTTTTCAATAATATGAGATCCCAGTTGTTGATGCTTTCAGGTGTTTCCCGTGCAGTTTGGATTTTGTTCATGAATTCTCTGCCTAACCCTATGTCTCCAAGACTTCAACCTACATTGTCTTCCAGTAGATTTACTGTTTCCATTTTAATATTTAGATCTTTGATCCAGGTAGACTTTAGTTTTGTGCATGGTGGTAAGCATGGATCTAGTTTCAGTCTTCAGCATGTGGAGAGTGAATTTTTGCAACACCATTTATTGAAGAGGCTATCCTTCTTCCAGGGAACAAGTTTAGCACCTTTATCAAATATCAGTTGGCTGAGTGTCTTTGTAGTTGTGTTTTCATCTAATCTGCTCCACTGATCCTCAGGTCTATTTCTTGGCCAGTACCATGCTGATTTTAGCACTGTGGCTTTGTAGTATAGTTTCCAGTCAGAAACTGAGATGCATTCTGCCTGCCTTTGTTGTCCAGAATTGCCTTTGCTATTCTCTTTTGTTTCCAAATGAATTTTAGGTGTGTTTTCTCTAGATCTGTGAGGTATGTCAATGGTATTTTTATTGGGATTGCATTAAATCTGTATAACAATTTTGGGAGTATGGCCATTTTCACCATGTTTCTTCTTCCTAACCAAGAGAAAGGAATGCCCTTCCTTATTTTAATATCCTCTTCAATCTCCTTTTTTAGTATAGCATAGTTTTCAGCACATATGTCTTTTACGTTCTAACTTAGGTTGATTCCCAAGTATTTCATATTTTTAGATGCTATTTGTGAAAGGTGATATTTCCGTACTTTCGCACTTGGTGAGTTTCTTGTTTGTGTACAGGAATGCTATCAATTTCTGAGCTTGACTTTGTATCCAACAACACTGCTGAATTTGTTACCTCTAGTAGTCTTTTAATGAAATTTTTGGGTTTTCTATATAAAGTATCATGTCATCTGCAAATAGTGATAGTTTAACTTCTTCCTTTCCTATCTTTATTCCACTTATTTCTCTCTCTTGCCTGATTGCTCTGGCTAATGTTTCCAGCATATATTGAATAGGAGTGGTGATAGTGGACATGCTTGTCTTGTTCTAAGTTTAGAGTGAAAGCTTACAGTTTTTGCCCATTTAGTATAATGTTGGCTGTTGGTTTGTACAGATGTATAGATTGAGGTAGACACCATGTATTCTGATTTTCTAAAGGGTTTTTATAATGAACATGTGTTGGACTTCATTGACAGGTTTGTGTTTTTGGTTTGGGCTCTGTTGATGTGGTATATTACATTTATTGATTTGTATATGTTAAACTGTTGCTGCATTCCTGCAATGATACCCACTTGGTTGTAATTTATAATCTTCTTGATGATTTGCGGCATTCTGTTTGCAGCATTTTATTGAGACTTTGCATTAACATTCTTTGGCCTATAGTTCTCCTTTTGGGTTGGGTCTTTCTCTGATTTGGTATCAGAGTAACACTTGCCTCCAGGAATGATTTAGGAAGATTGCATACTTTTCAATTTCATTGAAGATTTTAAGGAGTATTAGCATCAAATCTTCTCTGAATTTCTTATAGAATTCAGCCATGAAGCTATCAGGACCTGGGCTTTTCTTTGTTGGTAACTTTTTAATTACATTTTCAATTTCAATAGCTGATATTGGGTTATTCAAAATTGCTATATGTTCTTGGTTGAGCTTTAGTGTTGATATGTTTCTAGAAATCTGTCCATTTCCTCTATGTTTTCCACTCTGTGTGAGTAAAAATTTTCAAAGTAGGCATTCTTTTGAATTTCCTGGGGATCTGTAGTCATTTCCCCTTTTCAATCCTTATTGCACGAATTTGTGTTTTTTCTTTCTTATTCTTGATAAAGTTAGCTAGAGGTTTGTCAATCATGTTTATTCTCTTACAAACCAGCTTTTTGATTAATTAAATCTTTGTATTGCATTTTAGTTTTAATTGCATTGATTTCTGCTCTAATCTTTACAATTTCCTCTCTTCTATGAGCTTTGGGATTAACTTGCCCTTCTTTTTCTAGAACCTTGAGAAGAAGCATTAGGCTCTTTATTTGTACTCATTCTGTTTTCTTGATGACAATTTATTGCTATATATTTCCCTGTTAAGACCACTTTCATTGCATCCCACAGACTGCAGTATCTTGCGTCTGCATTTTCATTGAATTGTAGGTATTGCTTTTATTTCTTCTTTAATTTCATCTGTAGTCCACTGGTTGTTCAGAAGGTTGTTATTTAATTTCCATGTATTTATGAAGGTTTTGCCATTTTTGCCATTAATTTCCAATTTCCCAGTGCGCTATGGTCAGATATTATGCATGAGATAATTTTAATACCTTTGCAGTTACTTAAGAATGTTTCATGGAAAATGTATGGTCTATTTAGGAGAATGTCCCATGTGCGCCTGGGAAGAATCTGTATTGTGATGTGGTTAATGGAACACTCTGTAAACATCTAGTAAGTCCAATTGCTCACAGGGATGATTCAGTTCTATTATTTCTTTGCTGATTTTTGTCTAGTTTATCTATCTCTTTCTAACAATGGGGGATTAAGATTCCCTGTTAAAACTGTGTTCTTGTGTATTTGGTTTTTCATGTCCATTAGTATTTGTCTTATATAGATCGCTGCTCCTGTATTTGGTACCTATAGATCTATAATTGTTAGTTCCTCCTCTTGAATTTCTCCACTAATGAGTATGTAGTGACATTCTTTATCTCTGTTAATCATTTTAGGTTTGAAGTTTACATTGTCTGGAAATAGAGTTAGCCCTGCTTTTTGGGGGGTTCTTGTTGCATGGAATACTGTTTTCCATTCTTTGACTTTTAATCTTTGAGTTTCATTATGGGTCAGATGTGTACCTTGTATACGTGCTAAATGTATTTAAACTGAACTCTAAACTGGCTCTGGGCTGGTGATCTGGACTCAAACTCAGTCTCCCAGGACACTGGCAATAATAAACAAGTTTCTTTCAAATACCACAGAGAGGAGCATTTTCCTTTCAGTGTAGGATTTTTCCACAAGTTAAAAACCCATATATGGGTATGTGTAAATACAAAAGTATGTGCACATGTACAAGTTCACATTTTTAGTATTCTTCATTTTTCATACGCAGAAAATACCCATCTCAGGGCTGTTGCAAAAGTTCAGTAACTATTCATAGGAAATCAAACTAATATGTGATTCATATTAAAAATCTATACTGCAGTAACTCTTTTGTGTTTTTTTCTGAGTGGTCAAGTGTTTCTGAAGTTATGTGCCTCTATATCTGTCTCTGTCTCTCTATGCCTCTTTCAGTGTCTGTCTGTATTTCTGTCTCTCTATCTGTCTGTCTCTCCCTTTCTTTCTTTCTTTCTCTACCCTTCTTTTCTCCACTCTCAATTCTTCCAATCTTGGTTGTTTTCTGGCCTCTGCCTGAGATCTAAGAGCGTCAAGCATATAGATACAAATACAGTTGTGCTGCACATAAAATTATAAAAGAGACCAAGATACACAAGGGTTGATCTGAGGCCCCACGAGTTTCTCTGAGGTGTAATGAATCACTGCCAGTTTACAATATTGGTCATGGGATGTAATGAGAATAAAAAGAGCCTGAAATTCAGTTTAGAGAGCCTCTCCCTGGACTTCAGTGCTTCTCCATTTGCAAACTGATGAAATGTAGAAAACCATGACAAGGATGATTTCTGGGTACTTCTAGTGCCTTTCAGATTGTTACAATATCGCACCTACATGAAGGTACCTGAGGGCAGTGCCCATTTCTGTCTGATACATTCAGAAATTTGGAGCCATGAGCTTAATACTCAGGGAAAGTCGCAAGATGGTTCTCCTCCTGGAACAGATTCTGTGACCCAGATTTCTCCAAAATACCCTGAGGCCTTCTCTACATTCCATCTCCAACTCTGGAGCTCTCCATTTGGACACTGTTGATATCTCCTTTTGTCTTATACTCCATTGTCCCAATTTACCTTTCTTCCTTCTCAGGGTGGTCTGCCTCTGTTTGTCTGTATCTATCAGGCCCTATCTCTAGGTCTATCTTTTATTTCTCTCTTCTCTTTTCTGCTTTATGCCACCTGAACTCCCTGGCTCTGTTTGGATCTGATTCATTCTCATTCAGTCTCGATCTTTCTTCCTCTCTCTCTCCCCTGCCTATCTGCCCCACCATGCTGTCTCTCCTTCTCAGTCTCTTTGTCATTCTTTCTCTTTCTGTATCATTCTCATAATTCACTTTTGCTTATCTATCTGTCCCTTTCCTTATCTCTCTACAGCTCTGCTTTCTGTAAACTAGGGTAGAACTAACAAGCACAGGAAACAAACCCCATCCTACCTCCACCTCCATGCTGCCACTGTTCCAAACTCCCAACAAAACAAAGGAGAAGGCCACTGCACCAGGTCCCTGGAGTCACTCTTGAAACTCAAGACTAAAGACTTGTAACTGGGGAATTCCTTCCTCCCAAAAGATAAGAAAACTACATTGGTGTTTTCCATGGGTGAAGCCTGTTAAATTTGATATAAAGCTGCCTACCTATATAGCAAACTGAAAGCTAACTCAATACATAAAGAAACCGCAGCTGACTTGAGAATATACTCTTGGAACAGACAACCTAATCTCAGGAAAACATAGCATTCAAGCTTTCAGCACAGCCTACAAACCACTCAGACATGTCCAAATAAGACAAAACAAGAAAACGTTTAAGAATACATATATAACCTTACCATGAAGTTCCACCTCTCAAAACCTTCATATTCAAAAGTTAGAGGAAGGATAACTAAACAGATTCTGTGGTTTTTGTTTTATATGGTTCACATATGAAGTCTACATCTGATCCTGTTCATATGAATTTAATAAAATATTTTTTAAAACAAAGTTTCAGTGTTGAGTTCAGGCTACCTTTGAACTCACTTTGTAGTCAAGGCTGGTCTCGAACTCATATCAGTCCTCCTTCGCAGCCTCCTAAGTGTTGAAATGACAGGCATGCACCACCATGTATTCTGAATAAATATGTTTTAAATGTACAGGAAGTTAAATTACAAGGAAAAGTAGATTAAGACCTAATTCTTCATTGTATGTACCATGAGATATATTTTAGAGCTGCATGCATATCCTCATTCTTTATCAGTGTGATCTAGAGTGACATTAAAAAAGGTTCTTAATCCAGCATTACTTTCCCACATAACAGGAAGGAAGGTTAATGCAAGAGGATTCTGAGAGAACTGGGCATAGTGGTGAAAACCCAGCACTTGGGAGGCTAACGCAGAAAGATTGCTACAGGTTTGAGAACAGTTCCTGCTGCATAATGAATTCAAGACCAGCCTGAACTATATAGCGTGACTCTGTCTCAACAAACCAAATGGAAAAAAAATAAATAAATAAAGACTGGGAAATAAACTGGTTTTGAAGTCTGTTGTGCTTTGAATTTTACAACCTCGTGCTCACCTCGGAATATTTCTATTTATATCTGGACACCTGCTGGCTCAGATACTGGCAGCAAATAAATATTTCTTCAATTAAAGACAAAAAAACCACCCAAGCAGACTAGAGAACAGAAACACAGACAAATGAATGTTCCAAGACCTTCTCCAGCTCCTCAGTGCTTTAGGGTAAGTCCAAGCTCCTCTCCCAGCCTTCCAGGCCCTGCCCAACTGACCTCTTCATCCTGCCCCATTCCTAAGCTACACACCAGAGCTTTTTAGTTTCTCCAATGCATCATGAAGACACCACCTTTAGTCACCTGGCCCTTTGATTACCTCTCCCTGGGATACTCTTCCCAGTGCCTGATTAATACTCACACATGAGGCTTCAACTAGAAGCCAGGTTCTTAGATAAAGTGTTATTTTCATCAATCCGCCAAAGTTACTCAGTATTTACTATTTTGCAGCCCAAAGCCATTTTTAGAGCACTTACCATGACAAAAAATAGCAACTGCCCGTTGTAAGAATTGACTTTGTCCCAGGTAATCCAAGAATAAGGCAGGTATTGAATGAATTAATTACATCAAAACTTTATGACTGTTTGATGAGTGTCTCCCTCCCGGCCTTACTTCACATTTACTGGGTCTGGCACTATGTGCTTTGCTTAATGCGTTATCTTTTTCCTCCCAAAGAACGCTGACTTCAGAGTAAGGCTAATACAAGAGGTCTGCTTCCTACTACTGTTGTTGTTATACTTTTTATTAGTACATACTTGCAGTATATGCAGTTTACAATCATATTGATTAGTGAATATGTGCATATAATACAGCTCAGCTCTTTTTTTTCATCCTCTTCCCTCCAACCTTTGCACTCCTACTCCCCAATTGTTTACTCTTCTTGATATTTTTAATCATATCCCATTTTCATAAACTATAATGTTTACACTCCTTGAGGTGATTAGGTTTATGTACACAGCATATTTTTATTCTACTTATTTCCAACTTCCCTTCCCCTCCCCTTCCCCTGTGTCTTCTGGATCCTTTGCCATTTGACCCCCTTGTCTTCTTCCAACTCTCCTTTAATATGCTCTTTGTTTGTACCTTGCCATACTGAAATGAGAGACTCACATGTTTTGTTCTGTTTCACTTTGCTTTTAAAAAATGAGTTTGTTCTTATTCAGAAATTCTTTTCAGTACTGAGGATTGAGTCCAAGGCTTCATGCATGCTAGTCAAGCACTCTACCACTAAGCTACATAAGTAGCCCTTTTTTAGAGATAGGTCCTTGCTTCAGAAGCGCAGGTTGGCCCTGGATTGGTAATCCTCCAGCCCTAGTCTACCAACTACTTAAGATCACAGATTTAAACTCCCATATGTTTAGAAATTGTATACTTGTCAAAGGTCCTGCTTACCAAAATGTGCCTCTAGGACATAATCCCACTGCTCAGGCCTTCTCAAGGATTGCAGTGGAGATGGACTAGGAGAGTTAGGTTAAAGCAAGGGAAATTAAACAAGGTCTTCAGTAAACAAGTACTTGCCATCCTTTGTCTCAAGGGGAGAATGGGAACCTCCCTCTAGTGTCTGGAAGAGGGCTAATGGGTCAACTTACCCATGGAGAAAGGAATAAAAGCTTCATTCTTCTTCAGTGTCCCCTTAGCATCCAGAAAGTGGTCAGGGTTAAAGGAGTCTGGCTTTTCAAAGTGACATGGATCGTGAAGAGCAGTGGACAGTAGTGGATATACTTCAGTGTCCTGAGGAAACAGTACAAGATCAAAACCTATTGCTACAAAACAAAGCTGAAACAAGGTTTCCCCACTGAGAAACCAAAAGGAGGTTGAGATGTGGGTTAAAAAACCAAAGAGGCTCACACAAAGGCATGAAATCCCAGGTGGTCTCACCTTAGGGATAAAGAACCCTCGGAAGTGGGTGTCTTTGGTGACCATGTGGGGCACACCAATGGGGAGCAGGTCCGCAAATCTCTGAATCTCACAGATGACAGCCTCAGTGTATGGCATTTTGGATCTATCATCCAAGGCTGGCTGGCAGTGTGAGCCAATCAGCTGCTCAATTTCCTTTTGGACTCTTTCTGCACAGAAAACGGGATGATGAACCCATGGCCCAAAGGCATTTGAGCAATAACACGTTTTTCTTTGGAACAATGAGCCAGAAAACCCGTACAAAAAACAGTTATACCATTCACACCCTCAAAGCAGTCAACTATGGGTGAAGGAATGAGGGAGAAATTAACAAGAATTCTCACGTTTTAAAATCCAATAATGTTACAAATTATCTCCCCACATCCACAGCTACACACACACACACACACACACACACACACACACAAACACACACCACAATTTTGTAAATATTTTTGTAGTAAGAACCCTAAAACTCCTCCTCTAAAATGAATAAGATATGAACTAATATTTCTGATGCTGGCAAGTAGGTCACCCTTAGGTCATAAAGCATGTAACAGAAGAATAAATCAATAACAATTCATGAACTGATGGATGATAAAATGAGTCCATCAGTCAATCAACTAATGGCTGAATCAGTACATAACATTGCTGAATGAATGAGATAAACAAAACATACTCAACTATTTCAAAGAAAGAGACATTATGGTAGCTACTGTTAATATCAGATTGTTTTGTGGTGAAGTGCTGTGTTGCTTACATTGTTCTGTTCTGATCTGCATTGTTTTGTACTCTTTTGGCTTAATCTCTTTAAAATAAAAAAAAAATTTATAAAACAGACAAGAAAAAAGACATGAATAAATAAAGAAAGATGAAATACATAGGAGGCTTGAATGGAAAGTAAACATAGTGTGAATAAATGAGATTAACTGAATCAATGCAGGAATGGTAGATAATTGAAGCCTAAATTGAAAGGCTGCTGGTTAAGTAATAAAATTTAGTTGAAAAAGAGCTGGGTGGGTAGATGTATGAATAATGTACTGAACCAGTGGCTCAGTGACAACTATCAGTGTTTGAAGGATCAACAAGTCAATCCAAATAAATGAATAAAACTGTACCTCCTTTGACGAACCATAGATAAAAGAGTCAGTAAGTATGCAGGTGAATTAATAAATGGATGGATGGACAGATGGTTCACTGTTTAAGTGTGATGAGAGAAAACAGTGGAAAAACAGGTTAATAGAGGCTTGTTCACTGAACTGTACATCCCCAGGACTGGCTTAGTGGGGAGCTAGTCCAAAGCCTGCAGAGTTCCTGGCACAAGTGCCCAGGGTTACCTCTCATCCATGAGATGCCCTCACCCCACCTCTGCAGCCCAGAGCACATCACAGGGCCTTCCCAACTGGCTGTCGGTCACCCACCTGTGACATGGGGGTATTTGAGCAAAAACAGAAAGCCATAGCAGAGAGTTGTGCTGGTGGTCTCCGTGCCAGCAAAGAAGAGGGAAAGCGAGGTCAGGATGAGGTTCTTGTGGTGGAACTCGGTGTGTGAGTTAGACTTTTCCTAGGTCCAGAGTAAGGAGATACGGATGGTCAGGGAAGACCAAAGCCTTGCTGCAGGAAGTTTCATCTGTCCCTCTGGGCAACCTCCCTCTGTTTCTGGGACTCAGGTGATCTGGCATGCTTTGCATTTCTCCATCCTTCCCACCCAGTGCTCACTGGCTCTCTCTCTCTCTCTCTCTCTCTCTCTCTCTCTCTCTCTCTGTCTCCCCATTCTCTCTCTGCCTCTGTGGGTTTTTCTCTTTTTTTGCCCCTTGCTCTGATTTTCTTCCTCAGCCAGTCTTTGCCTCTTCTCTCTTTCCTGCCCATGTCAGTTTCTCCTTCCTGTCTTCTCCTGCCATCCACTTCATCATCTTTTCTCTTCTACTCCCATCTTCCCCTTTCCTATACTCTCCTCCCCACCCTGCATTTCCTTCCCCTCTTCTCATCTTCTCTCTCTTTCCTTCTCTTCAGATCATCTCTCCATCCTCCCCAACTATTCATCCCCTTCCAGCAGCTCTCAGTTTATCCATGCGGAGCAGGAAGGTATCAAAGAAATCTCTGGGGTTGCTGGGGTCCAGGGTTTCACGGTGTTTCTCCACACTGCGGCCAATGAAGCTGTTAATTTCCTGCAGGTTTTTGTAGATTACACTGTGTGTGCCAGGAAAATATTTCAGGACACTGTAGAAGAGCTCAAACATCTGCCAAGAAGAAGGGGCATTGAGGTCCACAAGGGGCCCAGTTAACAGACACTGAAGGGTGAAGCTGTCCTTGGCCACAGACCTCCACGGACAATCTTTATCCCACCATCTCTCTATCCTGAGTCTGCCTCTCTCCTTCACACACACACACACACACACACACACACACACACACACACACACAAACACATGTTTGTTCCCAGAATATCTGTAACTTTATTTTCTTTCCCTGTCTTCTCTCTTTCCTCCCTTCTCTTTTCCACCCTGCATTTTATTTGTCTCTCCCACTTTATTTCCACATCCCCTTCACTATTCTTTCTCTTTTTCAGCCTCTTGGTCCCTGTTCACTGTTTGTCCCTCCCTTCAGGTCTCAGTGTTCCTGTCCTTGAGTGCTGTCTTCACCCTTCTCCTGTCCCTAAGTGCATTTCTGGTCCCCCCAAAGCAGGCCATCACTCCCCCTTGCCCTGACTGCTCCCTTCATCCCGTGCTCCAGCCCCCTCCCCTGACCTGACTGGATAGGGAGCTGCCAAGTGCAAAGGACTGATAGAACAGGTCCAGCAGCCTCAGGAACTGCTGATCTTTGTAGCCAAAGCGTTCTCCAAACACAATAGAGCAGATGATGTTGGCAGTAGCACACTGGAAGAAGAACAAGGGGTCCAGAAGGTCTCCTAGGGAAAAGGTAGAGACAGAACCTCTGTAGTTGGTCCCTGCCCTGCATGTCATCCTGGTCCCAATTCCCTCTCTGTAAGTGATAAGTAAAAGTGTTAAGCCCCAGGGCAGAGGTGGTACAGCATGTCCCATCATGGCTTGTACAGGTTTAAAAGCCCTGATCACTTCTTCCTGTGCCCCACCCTTTACCTCTTTTCCCTCCTCTAGGGTTTGACTGAGAAGGAGCGAGACTTTAGTCCAAGGATATCAGGTAGTGGGGATCTTTTCTCAGTCTCCCTGTCTCTGTCTCTTTCTTTCTCATGCTGTCCATCTGGCTCACTTCTCTGTCTCCTCTCTTGCCTTTATAGACCTCCCCTAAGACTCATCCATCTGTCTCTAATTTTCTCTCTCACCTTCTCTGTGTCTTTGTTTCCTCTTTGAGTCTTTCTGACTCTCTTGTCTTTTTCTCTTCCTTTTGCCCCACAGATGTCTGTCTCTTCCCCTTCCCACTCTCTGCCTCCTTCTGTCTTTCTACTCAGTCCCTCTGTCCCTATTGCTTTTCCCCACCTTTGCTAGCTCCACACATATAAATACCTGGCATGAGTTAAAAAATGCTAACCATGGAGGTGCAAACAAAGAGCCCCTTCACCTCTGCAGCCCTCTTACAGAGGATCCCAAAGGAACTGAAAATGCTCCCCTGAGAGCAGCACACCCACCTGCCTCTTTGCTCACTGCCTGCCCATCAGCACTTCATTCAAGGGAGAGGAAACACATTTCTCTAGTTTCATATCTGCTGTTCCTCCTTTTCCCTTTGCTTCTTTTTACACAAGCAAGACTTCTGTAAAAGCTTTGATGTATACAACTAACCCATGAATTGTTTTCCCTAGACACAAACAAATAGCATACAATCACTCAGCCTATTTCTCCAAATTATTCTTGAACACCATGAGCCTCACAGATGCTTCTTTGGTTGTGCTGCTCTGCTGCTTATCTCTCTGTTCATTTCTATTCTGTCTCTTTCTGTTCCTATCCTTCTATCTGCCTCTATTTCTATCCTTCTCTGTGCATATGTAACTTTCTCTGTTTCCATTGCTGTGCAACCTGCCTCTCTCTCTGTACTGAGTCTTCCTTCCCTACCCACCCCATCCCTCAAGACTCACCCTTGGATTTCTTCATCTCCTCCACCAGACACTGAGCCTCCTCCTGAATCCGCTCTTCCACAGTCCGCTTTCCCATCCCAAAGTCCCTCATGGTGGCCAAAGAGAATCTCCGAAGGGCCTTCCAGCGGTCCCCATTGGCAAAGACCACACCTAGTGGTTGTAGGAGACACATGAGGTGCAGAGGAAGGGTCCCCCCCCACTTTTCTCCTCTTTTCTCATGTTCAGTTTTGCCAAATCTCCTCCTCCATCCTGCCCCACCACAGTGCCTTTGAGGTGCTCACCATATCCCTGGAAGGTAGATTCTACGGTAGCAATTATCCCCCGGCCAGAGAAAGAATCAGCTTGGTCCACCAAGGCTTCCCGTATGGTCTCTGCCCCACACAGCATGACCACGGGCCTCGGCCCCAGGTACACAGTGAACACATCTCCGTATTTCTCTCGGAACTGCCGAACATACCCACAGAAGGGTTGTTATTAGTCAGTATACACACCACTTGTTAAACTATTAAAGTGTTTAAATATATATTGGTAATTAGATGCCACCTCCAGAATCTTTGGTCTGTCCTCAGCTGCCTTGCTCCCTTTCTAGGACACAGAAGCTAAAGGGTTAAGCCGTGGCCCAGCCAGGCTTCTCTGAGTGATTGAGGCTCTAAGAAGGTTGAATATTCCTTATCAAATCTTTACCCATATCCTTGAGCCAAGACTGATCTCCCTCATATGTCAACCCAAAGAATTTGTGTGCCGTAACTTCAGTCTGCATTGTGAACCCCAGTAATTTCTGGAGGGAACAACTCTGACACACCCTCTTAGTGCAAGGGAAGGGACAATAACAATCCTCTAGCCCTGAGCATGAAATTTGAAAGATTCTATCAGTTCAGCGTCTTGAGAAACTGGTAGACAGGACAGTCACCCCTTGGTATCTATGGGAAATAGATATCGGGGCCCCTTGGATATCACAATATTTGCTAGTATTTGCAGATAACCTGGGTTCATCCTTCTGTATATCTCAAATCATCTCCAGATAGCTAATATATCAAACAATGGGAATAATATATAAAAAGTTGTTTACCGTATTGTTTAGGGATTAACAGCAAGAAAAAGTCAGTTCACATTCAATACTAGCATGATTTATTTTCAATCCAAAACTGAGCTCATCTGGGGATGTAGACCAACTGTATTTATCAAAGCTAAACACAGGCATACTGAAAAACTTCACCACCAAATACTTGCTCCACAAAAATGTGTACTTGTTCACAAAAAAAAAACAAAAAACAAAACTCAACCAGAATATTCACATAAGCCTTCTTAGTAAGCGATCATTAATGCATGACATAGTGAGAGATTCACATGATAGACTATTATTAACTACAAAAAAAGAGCCCAGTAGATTTATAACCAAAAATCTAAATGAAATTCACAAATAAGGTGCTGAATGGAAGCAACTAGACACAAAAGCAAGTTTAGTTTATAGTTGCTTATGCCAGGGATTTAAGTCAGTGGCATATGAAGTAGAAGAAAAAGAAGGAGGAAGAGGAGAAAGAGGAGGAGAAGGAGAAGTTGTTTACATTGGCTTCTTTTATATAAAGTTAAAATATAGATAAAACTAACCTGTGGGAAGAAAACCAAGAGACAGAGAGCCTGAGAGGAAGGAGAGCAGAAGGTGATACAGAAAGAATTAAGAATTAATGTACATGTACCAACTCCTACAGTGAATCTAATCATTGTGTACTGCAAACATATACGAATATAAATAAAAATTTTTAAAATCAAACTATGATGAGGAATAGTATGCTCATTGTCACGTTTTCTGCATGTCAATGACGTGAGCGTGTACACTGAGCTGTCCATTTTGGGAAGGTGATGTCCAACTTCAAAAAATCTTAGCTCAAAAATCATAAAAATGTCTAAATCTACTATGAAAATGTCTTGTGTCACGCTTTGCAAAGCCTTCTCACTAGTTTCTCTGCTTCCATTCCTGTACCCTTTAAAATTGTTTCACCACCCTCTGAGCCAGGGACATCCTGTTAAAGTATAAGTTACTCAGCGTTCCTACCCTCTCCAAGCCTCCAGTGCTCCCAGGTAACTGAGAATAAGATCAAAGTCTGTCCCACGGTCCCTGCAGCCTGGCAAGACCTGGCCCTGTCACTTCTAGGGTGTCTCCCTCCACTGCCCCTTGGCTCACTCTGATCCATCCCCATGCTGCTCCCGGCTTCTTCCTCTCCTGCTTTCAACAACATTTGTTCTTTCTGGTGCTGGCCACCTGTGCCTTTCAGGATCTCTGCTCAGGAGCACAGCAAGACAAAGCCTTTCACAGATTCCTCAGTCTGAGATGGCTCTCACTACTTTCTAAAACACCAAACTGCTTTATTTCAATCATAGCTTTTGTCTACCTAACATCGTTTCTGTTTATTTCTTGTTTATCTGTCACTCCCAGTGGAATGCCTGTGAGAATAATCCCCATACATCCCTTGTCCAAGATGCACTTCCCAGCACATAGCAAGTGTCCATAAATTATTAATGAACAAATGAATGAGTGGACCGAAATAGCACTTTCCATGCATTGTCTCATCTAATACTCAAGCAACTTTAACAGTCACATATTATCATTGTCGCCATCCTACAGAGGAGAAAACTACAAACCTCTAACTTCAAAAGGATTTGGGAGCTTATTGGGGACTAGAAAAAGAGCAGTGTCACCCTCTCCAGAGCTTCCCATCATGACACAAATATGTATCTGTCCCCTCTTCCATTACACAAACAAACCAAATTGCAGATTTTGGATACCTAGAAGTTCCTTGGAAACCCACAGAAGAGCTTTACAGGGCCTGCATAGTGAAGAAATTTATGCAAAAATATAGGTGAATATTTGGAGAGGAAGTGGCCCACACTTTTCATCAAATTCTCAGAAAATGTACTGATTCCCAGAGTGTTAAGTGGCATTAAGTCTAGGATTGTGGAGACAAAAGAGATTGCAGACCTATAGTTGCTAGGCTCCTGCTTCCTCTCCCACATGCATGTGCCTGTGAGTTAGTGCCCTCTGATGCTTTGCCTCACTATCTTAGTCCACCTCATGCTGCTATTGTAAAAAGCCTGAGAGTGAGTAATTTATAAATATCATGGTTTTTGAGGTTTTTTTTCTTTATATAGTTCTTGAAGTTTCAAGGTCCGAGGTCTTAGAGACCAGTATCTGGCTGGGAACTTCTTTGCTGTGTTGTCCTGTGGCAGAAGGTGAAAGGACAAGAAAGCATGCACACAACAAAGGGGACCACATTCACTTTTACAGAAAACCCATTTGAATGATGATCACATTAATCAGCTCCATGACCTAATCACCTTTTAAACATCCCACTTCTCAACACTGTTGCATTGGGGTTTAGTTTCCAACAAATGAACTCTGAGACATATATAGCTTTCCACCCCTGGCCTCCCAAATTCCTGTTCTTCTCACATGCAAAATATATTCATTCCATCCCAGTACCAATAAAAGTCTTAACCTGTTCCAGCATCAACTCAAAAGTCAGGGATCTCATCAATGAAACCAAGGCATGATTTCTCCAGAGGCAAACACTCCTCCAGCTGTGAGCTTAACACAGTGGTGAAACAGGCATAGGAGAGACATTCCATAAAGGAAACATGGAAAAGAAGAAAGGGGTGACTGGTACCAAGTAAGTAGAAAATCCAGAAAGTAAAAAATATATTGCACTTTTGTGAGATGTAAAATCAGCTAAAATGAAAACCTATGTACTGAGGGCCTCCATGTATGCAGTGAAACTCTATTAAGGGGAAGGGGATTGGGTCTACAGTCCCTCCGTCAGGCAGCCTCTCCCAGGTCCTGACTCACTCACACTCGGTGCCTCCTCTCACCTGCTCTTTTGCTCACTCACTTGTGCATATTTACTGAGCCCTTGCTGGGAGCCAGGCACTACCCGCAGTATTGTGCTCAGGTAAATGTGACACTGCTGTGGCCGTCACCAACAGAAGCAAGCGACACACAATAGCTTATGGTGGCACTGGGGTATGATGTCACACACCTTATAAGCCCAAAACTCAGGAGGATGAGGCAGCATAATCAACATGAGTTTGAGGCCAATCTGGGAAATGGAACAAGACACTATTTGAAAAATAAATAAACAAATGAATGAATAAGCTTATGGTACAAACCTGACCATGTCTGAGGCCAAGAAAGACTTCTCAGGGGAAATGATACTTGCCTGGGCATCTAAGAAACATCAAGAATCACGCAGGGTGGATGAACACGAGCCAAGGGACAGTACTTAAACGATCTCACCATGTCCCCAAGCTTTTCCTACAGAAAAACTGAAGCATTTGCTGCAAGGAAGAATGAGCAACACTGGGTGGTGTGGTGCACACTTGTAATCCAGCACTTAAGAGGCTGAGACGGGAGAATCACTGTGAATCTGAGATCAGGCTGGGCTACCTCATGAGTTCAAGGCCAGCGTGCACACAAACACAAATTCTCTGAACAGATGTGAAGGAACAGATGAAACAGGGATGTCCAATGGAAAATCAAAGGAAAAGGAAAAAAAAATCAAAAAATAAAGTTGGTTTTTTTGTCTTTTTGAGACAGAATCGTTCTATGTGGTTTATGTTGGAATTAAACTCACTGTGTACTCCAGGCTGACTTGAAATCTGCAGCAATCCTCCAAACAGCCTCCCCAAAGCTGGGATTATAGGCATGCATCATCATGCCCAGCTCAAAAAATAAAATTTCAAAATTAAGATTTCTCCAGGTCCTCATCCAAAAAAAAACCCAAAAACTTCGTAAGGCAACACTTTACCAACAAACATTTTATGTCCAAAGTTCAGTTTTCTAATGATATTGATGTAATCCCCAAAAGAACAGCATTTTAATACAGAAACTGTGCCGCTGAGCAAACCCCTGGCCACTTAGGACCATATTTATACCTTAACAAGACTCATAGCATTGTAGCACCATATCATGCTTACTGAGAAAATTTAAAACATTATTACAAAACTGTAGAGATTTGACTGTACAATCCAAATGTGATGAACTGTTAGATACTGTGGGGCATCATTGTTCTTCTGCCCTAGCCCAACTGAATTTCTTCCTATTCATGACAGTTAATTGTGAAAAATTGATTGACTAGAATAAGAAGTGTCTAGCAGATTAATGAAGCACAGTTCTGGCAGTGTCTATGGATGACTGACATATAGGCTACCCAACTGAGGGGAAAAGACCCACCTCAGACATGCGTCAACCAATAGCCTGGACAAAATAAAAAGGGAAAGAAAGAAGTGTTTCTGTTTCAGAAGAGCCCCAGGTATCAAAGTTGCCTTTGGAAGTGTCTCTAGTTTCTTTAGTCTTCTAATGTAGTCCTCTAAGGGTGACTCTACAGGGAGCTTCTAGACCTTCAACTTTTGACTGGTGCTGCATCCTTAATCTTAGTAACACTCACATTTGAAGAAAAATTCACACAGTCAAATTCCAGACACAAGAGCTGCCTGGAAAAAAAGCAGCCTTAGGCTTCCTGAGCCACAAATGAAAGCTTTAGAAAATATTCTGACACACATATCTGCAAGCACCAGACTGTGAGCCAAGCAGTTTGGAATTGAACCGGACCTCACCAAGCCAAGGTGGCCAGCTTTATTTCAATTAAACCCCAGGCTCCACACATGACCTTCCTGACAGGTCCATGCTGCTTGTTTCAGAAGATCACCAAAGCTTAGCACTCAGTCATCTGTCTGGACATGCATGGTTTGGATCTGGTTTGAGTGTGTCCCCCATACATTTATGTGTTGAGACCTTAGTCCCCGAGGTGGCCATGTTGAGAGGTAAGGGAGCGTTTGAAGAGTGGAGCCTAGTGGAAGGTAATTAGATCATGCAGGCACTACCCTTAGAACAGATTAATGCTGGTCTTTCAGAATGAGCCAGTTCTTAAGAAAGCAAGTTGTTATAAAACAACGCCTCCCCCATGTTTGGGCCCTTTCTGCACATTGTAGGTTCAGTTTCTCTTCTTGTACCATAGGGAGCCATTAACAAAGGCTGAACAGATGGTACTGCCTGTCAGCTGCCTGAACCGTCAGCCTCTAAAGTTATGAGCTAAGTAAACCCCTTTCCTTTATAAAGTCTCAGCCTCGGGAATTTTCTCACAGCAACAGAAAACAGAGTAAGGTGTCGTGAGGCTCTATTTTGCCTTCTCAGGTAGATCTCTTTATGGCTTGCTGCCCCCTTCACTTCAGCCAGCCCCTCATATTGGTACACAGTTCAGTTCCTACCTCCTCTCCAGCATACATGCCATGCTTTTCCATTCTCCTGGGTCTACTTCCTCGTCTTCACCCTGAACACCCATCATGAATGGGCTCATCTCCCCTCTTATTCTCATTCGTCCAGTCTTTATGAGTGTGTCCAAATCCTACCTCTTACATAAACCCTTCTGGGCCTTCAAATGATCTTTAAACCCCTATTTCTTCTCTTCTGTTCCTTACCCCCCAGGACTCAGCCCTCAGCACCATCCCTGGTACACAAAACTAAAAGTAAAAGATGATATAATCAATAAATAGATCATTGAACAGGTATGATTCTATTCTAACAAGGAAGAAATCAAGATTTTTCTCCCCTTTTATTTTCCCACTCAGTGTCTTATTAGGTTGCCCAGACTGTCCTAAAACTCATGGTGATCCTCCTGCCTCAGGCTTCCCAGTGCAGGGAAACTGGTGAGTGCCATCACATCTGGCCTTAATAATATATTTGTGACACATCATAAATGTATTCATCATGGAGATCTGGTGCGTGTACACATCACATCTCGATCCTGTTTACTTCCCCTCCCTCACCCTTCCTAATAAGCACTCTTTACTGCCTCTGCTTTCCCCCCTTCCTCCTGCTTGTCCTCAGACTGACTCAGGACAATCTTTGTTCTCTATGTTGACAGAGGCAAAACCTTTCTGACTGGTGACACTGTTCTTTTTCTCTTGCTTCTAGGCAAGTATGCGGTATGCAGCAGAGGACAGTGAGATTCTACACCTGCAGATCACACTCACACAGTTCTATATGCCCTTTCATCCTCTACAGAACAATGTCTCACACAATTCTGCCAGCGGAAAGACACCTGTGACAACCTGACCAGTATCCACCAGGAGTCAAGATCACACTCTTTACACACTGATCCTCCACACCAGCCTCTAACTCTGAAAGAAGACTGTGCTTTTCCAGCCTGCCCTGGGATCCGAACATCTGTGTCTCACCTTCAGGAAGGATTTGAACAGGCCTTTTCTGTTCATCTGCAGAATGTTCCCCAGGAAGGGCAGAGGACGTGGGCCAGGTGGGAGGTTGCCATGGGCCTTTGGGTGGCCCTTGAAAAGCAGAAGTAAGAGGCCCAGGAGGAGAGCAAGGAACAAGAGGAGGCTGAGCTCCATGGTCCTGATCTGACTGCCCTCTACCCTCTGCAGCCTTGAGCTGAACCTTTTATCCTCAGCCTACCTCCTCAGTTATGCAACTTCACCCTTTCCCTGACTCCTCTCTCATCCTTATCCAGGAGTGTGATCTTAGAAGAGAGTTACCAAGCACCCATACTTCCTGTTTGGGCAGCCAGGTAACCTGCTCATTCCCTAGTCCTTTAACCCCTCCTTAGATGTTGGCAGGGATACTGCAAAACAGACGCGAAAGGGTACAAGATTGCATTTCTGTGTGCTGGGTGCACATGTTGTCAATTTCTGACTATGTGTTTGGCTCTTTAGTTTATTCTGTCCCAGTTCGCTTGCAGCTGTGTATACCTGCATGGTTTTCTATTTATGAAGGGCTATTTTGCATTTCAACATGAATTGCAGTTATGTGTTTCTGTGTATGAGTCCAGGTGTGCTTCTGTGTACATTCTTCATGTGTGGGATCATCTGTGTATTTATTGACTTCACACATGATGACATGGTTGCATTTCATAGGGATTTCTGCTCCTGTTCATAAATCTGCATGTGCCAGCTGTGTTTTTGCTGGTGTATGAGTGCGTCTCATACTCAGGCTTTGTAAGGCCTGAAGAGGTCCCCAGTGTTCCCACACACGCTCCACTCTGTGAAGGTCATAGGTGGGAGTGATGAGTGATGGGGAAACCAAAGAGGGGTAAGACTCTCACCAGTGGAGGGAGAGACAAAGGCAGACAGAGACAGAGACAGAAAGACAGAGAGAAAGAAACCCAGCTGGGAGAGCACCTGGGTTATCTCAGTCTCTGATCATTCCTATTAGTACTGGCTGGTTCCCACTGCCAGAATTTTCTCTCTCTCTCTCTCTCTCTCTCTCTCTCTCTCTCTCTCTCTCTCTCTCTCTCTGACTTGGTGTCTCTGTCTTTAGATCCTGAGGTCCGTTGTGTCTTAGTCTGCTCTTAGCAGTAACAGAATACCAGAGACTTAGTAATTGGTAATGAACCAAAATTCACCTGGTGTGTGTTTTTGGAGGTGGAGAAATTCAAGTGTATGTGATGGCATCTGGGAAGGGCTGCATCACAACAAGGCTGAAAGGCACAGAGAATGCCTGAGGCACACTGTGCCAAGAGAGAAGCTTGGCACTCTCTCCCTCTGTCCCTCCCACAAGGACAATCCATCCATGAGAGCAGAGCCCTCATTATCTAATCAGCTCTTCCAAAACAAAAGGTTTCATCTTTCATGTGAATGGAAAGAACTAAAACCACTATCACAACTGGCATAGAGATTCTGTAAAGAACTAAAACTAGAAAGTCCATTAGACCCAGATATTCCCCTTCTAGGTACCTTCCCTAAAGAGTTAAAGACCTCACATTACAGTGATGCATGCATACCCATTTTATAGAAGCACATTTCATAATAGGTAAATCTTGGAAACAGGCATCAATAGAGGAATGAATAAAGAAAATGTGACATTTACACACCATGAGGCACTGCTCTGCCAATAACAAGAGTTATCTGGAGGAAAACAGATGCACTTTGAAACCATAAACCATGAAGTGAAGTAAATAAAATGCACAAGCTTAAATATCACATTGTTTGTCTTGTGTGAGAAGCTCAAAATGCAAACAAAAAAAGCAAAGTAAAAATAGATGATAAGAAATAAGGGCATAAGTCTTTTACAGAAGTAAAAGCACCAATGAGACAGAGGTAGGGGAGGAGAAGGAGATGGAAGAATTAGGATGTGTTCTCTCCATGCGCCAACTTCCAATAATGAATCACCGCATACTGCAAACATGTACTAATAAGAAATAAATATTGAAAAAACCTTGCTTCTTCGTATAGATACAGTATCAACTCCATTTCAACATGAATTTTGGAGGGAACATTCTAACTTACATTTTTGCCATACCCTCGAAAATTTATGTCCTTCTCACAGGTGCAACACATTCCTTCTGTCCCAATAGCCCCAAGATTTATTTTGAGGTGCTGGAGAATGAACTCGAAGCCTCACGCGTGCTAGGCAACTGCTCTACCACCAAGCTACCTCCTTGAGCTACCTTTTTATTTTGAGACAATGCCCAGGAAGGCCTTAAACTTTAGACCTTCCTACAGCAGCCTCTTGAGCTGCTGAAGTATAGGGTAACACCATCACCTAGGGCAAACCCCAAACTCAAAACTCCAAAGCGATTCCTGCACCAACTCAAACGTCTGGTCTTACCATTATCAGATGTATACTAGACAGACTCAAGACCTGATTCTTGCTCAGGCAAATTTCCTCCCGCTATCAGCCCCTGAAGTCTTAACAAGCTATCTACTACCAAAACACAGTAGTCTGCTATTTATACACAGTTTTACTTCCTGATATTTCAGAACTTTACGGTCAATTTCACTCCAAAAGTATTAACTGAAAAGATTCATTAATGTCAAATTTGGCATGAGAATAAATGTCTGTAATATCTGCAATCTAGAGACTGCAGCTGCCTTCCGGGAAGAGTGAGCTGGGCTGAGCCGGGGGACCCCGTTCCAGCCTTGCAGACCGCCCTCTCTCACCTGAAGGCCACATCGCAACTGTTCCCCTGCAAGAGAGAGGTGGGCCAAGCCGCGGGACCCCATTCCAGCCTTTCAGACTGCCCTCTCTCACCCGGAGGGCACATGGCAGCTGCCCCACCTGAAGGAGGGAACTGGGCCAAGCTGCGGGAAACTGCTCCAACCATGCCTGCGACCTTCTTTTGGCCTAGAGAGCATCAGCACTACTGCCACCACCTGGAGGAGGGAGCAGCCCTGCTGAGGAGGTTTGAGGCCTACCTAGGCCATAGGGGGACCCTCTATCAGCTTGGGGAGCTTTGCCATCCAAGGAGCTGGATGGTTACACAACATCCAATACCCGGGAGAGTATGAGATCCTTGCTTTAGGAAGTTGGGGGCCCGCTGGGCTTGCAGCCACACTAGATTGGGTTTAGCGGGATTTGGGGTTGCCTGGACCACACCAGGTGGCCTTCTTTCCCTCAGGGAAGCTTTGCTGCCAGAGGAGGGAGCAGTGTAGCTTGAGGAGGCTTTAGGTCTTACTGAGAGGAGCCTGGCAACCTTCTTTTAATCCAGGGGCTTTGCTGCCCAAGGAGAGAGCTACACTACCAGAGGAGTCCCAGGAGTCCAGGACATGAGACAATTTCCAACACACCCTGGGGAAGCTTTGGAACAACACTTGAAGCACGGAAATATAGGAAAATGACAAAACGAAAGACCAAAATGCAATCTCAAACATCCAGTCCATCCCAAGAAAGCCGAGGAGCCATGTATATGGAAGAAAATACATGCCACATACCTGAAATACCTGAAATAATAGTAACCGAAATAAAGAAGCAACTGCAGGAAGCCTTAAAGGAATTCAAACTAGAAATAATCTCTCAGGTAAAAGAAGAAATGATAAAAGAAATGAAGGAGATGCTGAACATATCTAAAGACGACACAGTTAAAAAACTGGAGGAACTAAACAAAAAGATGGAATCCCTGGATGAACAATATAGGAAACAAACAGAATATATAAAGCAGATGCAAAGAGATATATAGGAAATCAAAAATTCCATTGAAAGTTGTAATACATGTAATCTAGGAGGCTGAGGCAGGAAGATTACCTCAGCCTCAGCCTCAGCAATTTAGCAAGATCCTATCTGAAAATGAACAAAATTCAAATGGCTGAAGATATAGATTAACGCAAAGGCCTATTCCAGTACAAAGAAAAAATATTAAAGTGTAGGTTGTTCACCATTCTGATTAGTGTGCTACTGGCAACAGAGTTCAACAATGAATCCCTTGAAACTAGTGATACCAAACTATTAGCTACAGGTAAGTGATGTTTACAGATTCAGGAGTTAGTCTGGATAGAAAAGTCTAAAAATTACTAGCAACACAAGTTGTGCGCATGCTTGGAAAAGAAATAGAGCATATTGAAGGCCATCAAAAAATGTTCACAAATAAGGAATTGGAAAACTTGTTAGATCATCTACAGAACAAGAGAAAGGCAAAGAAGCAACTGAAGCAAAACCAGCAACAGGGCTATTACTGAAATTTGTAGATGCATTACAAACTACGCAGGTATTGGAGGACAAAATCATGGAATGTGATGCTAACGTAAATCCACCAGCACAGGCACCAAAGAACTGCAACATCTGCAGCTACACTTCCACGAGTTAAAAAGTTCAAAAGAACTTTAACTGTCAAGGATCCCCTGCCACCAACATGGTCCACTTCTGATGTGTAACCATCAACATCCTCATGGCCCCACTATCCAGGGTCACCCAAAGCAGACAATCCTCTTCCCTTGTATCATCAGGTCAACAGTAGCCTAACGCTGCAGCACAAGACCTATATCACTCTCCTCACTTCATCTGATCACTAGGCATTGTAGCCTCTCACTCCGTCACAAAGAGAAGAGTGTAAGGACTTACAATAAGGGACTTTTATATTTAGAGAAAAAAAGCAAAACAGAAAAAAGGGTAGGAATAATACAGAATTTCAAAAATAGCAGTCAGAAATCACTAGCTGATAACTTACAAATCTTAGAAATAGTTGCCTTTCATTATCAACAATATCAATTATACATTTTAGATCTTAATACGCTTTCAGTTTTTTATTACTGTTACACTAGGGAGACAATACAATATTTACAAATGTAAGTCTCATTTCCTTCACTTATAAGGATAGTCTCAAGTTGCCTCCATTTAGCTATAAAAACCTCAAGATCATCCCTTTTATAGCTGAATAATATTCCATTGTATAAAAATACCACTTCTTTTTCATCCATTCTGCAGTTGATGAGCATTTTGGTTGTTTCCAAGATTTAGCTATTACAAATTGCATTGCTATAAACAGGGGTGCATATATATCACTCTGACATGACCTTTCATATTTTCCTGGGAAAATATCCAGGAGGAGAATAGCTGGATTGAATGTAACTTCCAATCCTAGTTTGTTGAGGAATCTCTATACACATATCCACAGTGGTTGCACCAGTCTACACTCCCACCAACAGTGAGAAGTGTTCCTTTTT